GATTTCGAAGAAGATTATTGACAAGAGTCATAAACATAACTGATGATGCTACATTGCACGAAACGTTTTGGAGAGGGAGACCATAAAAAGGGTTTGTACAGTTACAAGTCATATTCGTGATTTTTTTGTAATTTTGTTACCTAAAAGAGATTGGCCTGTTTCTTTATAATGTAAAATAATCGTGTCGACTAAATAGATATATTTACTTTGCATCCACCCCAATACAATCGAAGAATATAGAAGAAATTATCTATTTAAAATTTATGTGTAGTGTGCACATTATGGCATTAAAATTACCATTTAAAATATGTAAAAAACACATTCTAATGTTTGATCAGTATGAAACAATTGCTTGTAAAAAAAAGACTATTAATATTTTTCTCTTCCACTGCAATCTTTTCCTTTCAGAATGTTATTTAATTGTCCTTTTGTACTTACCCAGAAAGTGCAATATCTATTTAGACTTGCATTTGAAATTTCACTTCGGCAATACAAAACNTTTTATTTAATAAGAAAGGGTACCTTACAGTTACGTATCGTATTTAATTTTTTAATTAGTGACATTTGTAACATACAATATTGCTTTTTGTGAAAATTAATTTAATTTCATGTATTTTTTTGTAGATATCATACAATTCATGAGTACCTAGACACCCGTGTTGACTGAAGATAAAATACAATAAAAAAATCAATGATTGACTGTACATGTGCCTTAATAATAGATAAAATGATAAATAACCATCACAGTGGCTTTGCTGTGGAAAAATTGAAAATTTATTTGGCTTGTAACTTATTTTCTTTTTTAAAAAATATGCAATCACATCAATAAGCCAATAAGCCATTAGATATATGACTTTTACAAATACATATACCTAACATCGAATAAAAAGCCAGACATTAAAAAAATATGTATTTAATCCATGCAACCAATAGGGTCGTTGCCATTCGCGAGACAGCTGTACATTTTTAAATAAAAATTAGATTGTAAATTAATTGCTTTTTTATCTTAATTGATATCATCAGCAAACAAGTAAGTATTAATCAAAGTACTTATTTTCTATTGTAGTCTAAGTATGTCAAATGATTTTATATCTAATTCAATTGTATTATGGAATAAAGGATTAATTTCAATGAATGTTAACTTATTAAGTGTTTATGTTTTTACTTCTGTTTCCTTCTTTTCTTTTAATACGTAAGATATACGTAGATGTAAGTTCTACTGGGATTGCTCACCGTTTTAAGTACGTTTAGTAATATTCCTGGTAAATACTCGAGTAAAAATCAAGAAGCGGACTTTTTCCGGTAATATTTTAGAGAAACTTATGGAGCCAGTTTGGTCGTAATTCGGTAGAGTGAAATTGAAATGAATAAGTTTTATTCGGGTAACTGGAAACGAATCTTTTATATTGATGCTGTCCTTTTGAATTCCCCCCTTAATAAAAAATATCTTATCTGCCATTTGATATACACGTGTTTATTAAATTAACCAGAGGAAAAAAAGCTAATGTCGCGTACTCCTGACACCGGGCAGCACTTTGTAGTTTGTCGACGCCACACTTTATTAATTTGACTTAGCGGATGTGCGAAAAATCCTAAGACGAACATATAAAACATAATGTTCGACTTTAATTATTAGCGAAGTCTTCCTAGAGCAACGGTCGACCACTGATGGCCAGCGGAAGGTCAAAAACTGGACCGCCAAAAATTTTTTGAAAGTAAATTACTGAAATATGTTACTTAAAAAATATTTTCTGAAGGTAGCAAAGTATGTTAGCTTTGGGCGCCACCCTTATCGTTTTTTAGAGGAACGAATAAGTATGTTCTTTCTGAACCACGATAAAAATTTTTAAATGAAGCCGGACCCCACCTAAAATTACTTGCCGACCCCTGTTCTAAAGTGCAGTTATTCCTGCACTACTCTAACTTTTGTATGCGTTTCTTAAAAAACTATTTGTAAAGACACACTTCAGTTTCGACGCTAAAATTTTGGNTAAATACTCGAGTAAAAATCAAGAAACGGACTTTTTCCGGTAATATTTTAGAGAAACTTATGGAGCCAGTTTGGTCGTAATTCGGTAGAGTGAAATTGAAATGAATAAGTTTTATTCGGGTAAATAAAGAAATAAATAAGACATGGGGTGGATCTGGACTCTGGACTCGCATCACTGGTGCGACCCTTGAGGTCCACACGAATAACTTCCCGGTAGAGGAGGCTACTGATTCAAATCAAATCAAATACAGATATACAGTATCCAGTACTGGATAAAAATATCTGATTTATTTCAAAGTATCGCGAATGTCAGAACCAATTTGATCAGATAAATAAATTTTTAGAAATTACAAGAATTTACTAACTTTCAGTTTTTTCGTTTAAATAAAAAAACGACTCCACCGAATTTTATGTTATTCTTTTCGGATCATAATGTCGTTAATACGCTTCAATCGAAGTCGATATCAATTGTTTTTTCGCGCGATATCGGTCAGGAAAAATCTCAAAGTACGTTGAAAACCGCGATTTTTATGATCAGACCAATTATTACAACCTCACTTTATACTTAATAATAGAATAACTTAGATCGGTGCGATATTATTGGAACATGTTTCAATAGAAAAAAAAAACTACAGTTGAAACATCATAAGTACTCCCTGTATACTAGGAAGTTAATAAAAATCAGCTGCAATTTATTAAATGCCCTTATAAATATTAGTACCTACTGTTAATAAAGTATTTTTAAACAGAATTTAAAGTTAAAAGTAAAGTGTGTAAAAATGAATGCTGTTTGTAAAAGGCTATAATCGTTCAACTGAAATCTATATAAATATTCTATACTTATAAAAAGAGATCCCTTGAGCCTAGATAGTTGAAATTTTCCTTGATAATGGATACAAGGGATAAGGAAGGATTTTTTGATAAATATTTCTGGAAATTAGATAATTCTTCTAACAAAGTATTGTAAGCATTTTTCGTAAATAAAAGTTCTATTATAAATAGATGTTTATAAAATGTCAACAGCATTAACAAGAGTGTACACTGTCACCATTAATTTTTAATCGTTATGGCGATAACGGAAATTGTTAGCATGCTTAAATTTACAATTAAAGTAGGAATGCTGGTATAATATCGGTAGATATAGTTAGGACAATCAAAATTTCTTGTTTTTTTTTCCACTTAGGACTTGGGACTGTAGTCATTTGCTGCGTTTTGAGTACGTCCTTGTTATGTTAGGAAATGCTTCATGAGTAGTACAGACAAAGTGAAAATCGAATAATAGTAAGCGGTGTAGCAATTAGAGATTGTTCAGGTACGCTAAAGATCAGGATCGGCTTTGTAACTACCTGGTTGGAATTATATATTTATACAAACATCTTTGCTTTCCTAAATTCCTGGGAATGTTGAACTTTCTTTAAAGTCCGTTGCTGGCAACATACTCAAATTCTGTTTGTCTGCATCTCTTTCTGTTACGCATTGTTTGGTATAATGCTATTCCTTTTTCTCTATTAGTGTCCGCTGCAATTACTACCTGACATCTCTTTTCTATATTTACGATTTTACTACAACGGATGGCGATGATAATGAAAGAATATTCATTTAGTCCTTAAAGTACTAATTACAATAGCTTCTAAAACGCAAAAAAAATGGTAAACTGAATACGTCCGAAAATTGTTCAAACTTTACCCCTACAATTCAAATGCATATATAGGGTTGTTCGGAAAGTCATTTAGTTTTTTCCCAACAGAGGACTTAATTGAATTCTTTTGCACCCAACTTCACATTTAAGCCGTATAATTTTTATATGCGTTGAGAGCTCATATAGCAAGGCTTGTGTGTGAAAAATTCCAATTAATTCTACGCAGTAGTTTTTGGTTGGTGCCCTTTTAAATATGGAGAGCGATAAGCAGCATTTTCGACATATCTTACTGTTTTACTACAGAAAGGGTAAAAATGCTGTTCAAGCCAGAAAGAAATTGACTGATGTGTATGGAGAAGGTGTGTTGACAGTACGCCACTGCCAGAAAAGGTTCGCTAAATTTCGATCCGGCAATTTTGATGTCGAAGATGCACCACGTTCGGGAAGGCCGGTAAAGACGCGATAAAGGCATTAGTTGATGTGAATCGGCGAATAACAACACGTGAGATCGGATTGAGGTTAAATTTATCAAATTCAACAGTTTATGTCCACTTGAAAGGCCTGGGATTATCCTCGAAGCTCGATGTATGGGTTCCCCATGTTCTCACAGAGAGAAATCTGTGTCGCCGCATTGACGTCTGCGATTCGCTTCTCAAACGTCACGAAAATGATCCGTTTTTGAAGCGCATCATCACTGGGGACGAAAAATGGGTTGTATACAACAACGTCAAACGCAAGAGGTCATGGAGCAAAAAAGATGAAGCGGCTCAAACCATTTCCAAAGCCGATATTCACCAAAAAAAGGTGATGCTGTCTGTTTGGTGGGATTTTAAAGGAATCGTTTTTCTTGAGCTTTTACCGGATAACACAACGATTAATTCAGAAGTCTACTGTCATCAGCTGGACAAACTGAATGATGCACTTCAACAGAAAAGGTCAGAACTAATCAACAGGAAAGGTGTAGTGTTTCACCAAGACAACGCGAGACCTCACACAAGTTTGGTCACTCGCCAAAAGCTTTTACAGCTTGAATGGGATACAATGCTACACCCACCGTATTCTCCAGAACGTGGCACCATCGGATTATTATTTGTTCCGGTCACTCCAAAATTTTTTAGACGGTAAAAGCTTTACAAAAGGACGAGGTCAAAAACCTCCTCGATCAGTTTTTTGCCAGCAAAGACCAGACATTTTATGAGCGTGGAATTATGCTACTACCAGAAAGATGGCAAAAGGTGTTGGACCAGAACGGTCAATATTTTATTAATAAGTATTTGTTTATTATACGAAAATTGTCTTTCATTTCCACAAAGAAAAACAAAATGACTTTCCGAACAACCCTATATAAGTAGATATATCAGATATTGATTTAACAAATAGATGTATAGCAGAAGAATGGAGGGTGGTTGTGTTGCTATGTAAACAAATTCATTTTCCTCAATTTTGACAAACAGTCAGTTTGTACTATCATATTATGATATAAATGTTAAGTAAAGTAAAGAAGACTGAAGAATGGCTACAGGGAAAGTTAAAGTCGTAAAAACAACGAAAAAAGCAGGCGATCATGAGTAATTTATTAAATGCAACGTAAGTTTCACATTATTAATGTAAATTTCACGTCATTTTTAGCCCTAAAGAATGCAATCACACTTTACGGGGACAATACATTCATTACAAGCCGGCGAGGGCCATCGAAGGCAAGCCACTTGTAAAATTGTATGAACAGAGTGGCGTAAGGGATCTGATTGTACCAAAGAGAGATCCCCTTGAATTACCGGGGATATGGCCAGAATCAGAGTACAAAAGATTGAAAAAGCAAGCTCGGGTAAATATTTCCTAAGCCATTTTTACCACTTTTTTCAAAGAACCGAAAATAATTAATACAGACTGAAAGATACTAAGTTTATCTACACGGTGGCGTATTATTGGGGGTATAAAAAAGGTCATGGGTTCGGAAACATCCAAATCATAGTTTTCAACGCATTGTGCAATTTAAAGGTCACAATAACATTGCTAGTAAATTTGGAGATGAAGTATGAGTAGAACCTAATAATAACAACATAATCTGAAGAAAAACTCATAACATTCATCTTCCTGTTTAAACAAAAAGACTGGAAAAAAGTAGGAGATTTCTTCAAAAATATTTCATCATCATGAGATCGTCAGTCCTAAGATTCGTTGGACACGTACCTCCACTCTATCCTATCCTGAGCTAATCTTCGCATTTCCTTAAAACTAGAACAACCCCCATCCTTAACTATTTGCGAACAGTAATCTAATTTCTGTTCACCTATTCTTTCTAATACCTCTTCATTTCTAACCTTCCCTATCCATGGTATCCTCATCATTCGCCTGTAACACCACATTTCGAACGCTTCTAACCTTTTCTTTTCCGTAGCGCCCACCGTTCATGTTTCGCACCCGTACAGCGCCGCGCTCCAAACATAGACCCTTAACAAACTTTTTAGAATTTCTAAATTAACTGTTCGCAAGCATAGAAGTGAGTTCTTTTTACTGAAAGCGACTCGACCCTGCGCTATCCTCTGCTTTATGTCTCTACTACTCTTTCCGACTTAAATTATCTGACTTCCTAGATACCTAAAATTGGTCACTTCTTCTAATTTTTCGTCTCCTATCTTTATATTCGCTCTTCCCCTACTTTTTCTTTCCTTGAATACCACTACTGTTGTTTTACTTGTATTTATTCTTCTTCTAGCCTCATATATCTATCCCTACCCTTGTACTGTCTTTAATGATGTTGATCGCTTCTTCGATGTATAGATTACAAACCGGGGATGACAGTGTGTATTCCTGCAGACTCCCTTCCTATTTACTTCTCCTTGTGCAACCCCAGCTCTGTAACTACCTGTTGCTCTTTATACAAACTANCTTTTTCTTTCCTTGAATACCACTACTGTTGTTTTACTTGTATTTATTTTCATACAGTACTGTTTTGTCAGTACCGCATCCATTTTATTTAAAGCTATCCTAATTTCTCCCTGCTAGATATTAATACTGCTATATCATCATCAAATCGAAGCATTCTAATCTTCTAGCCCCATATATCTATCCCTACCCTTGTACTGTCTTTAATGATGTTGATCGCTTCTTCGATGTATAGATTACAAACCGGGGATGACAGTGTGTATTCCTGCAGACTCCCTTCCTATTTACTTCTCCTTGTGCAACCCCAGCTCTGTAACTACCTGTTGCTCTTTATACAAACTAAGTATCACTCTTCTATCTTTGTAACTCATCCCTACATTCAAATACAGGTATAGTACCGAAATATGTATATGTATCTACATAAGTCTGTAAGGAAAGCTATGTGTAAATAAGCAAATATATTTTCAATTTAAACTAATAATGATTATCTTCTCAAAGGTTAAATTATAAATATAAGTTTTTATGTACACCGTTTTACTGCAATCATGACCAATTTAAATAGCAGATCTTGCATAATTATGTGATAATAGGGAGGGCTGTTGAGTGGAAACTCATACTACATCACTGTACCTACAGATAGTTAAATTAATGAAATCCTCTTGTTTATTACATGATATCTTACAATGAATAACAATAGTAATTCTTTGGGTACCAAGAGAATTCTTATAGATAGATTTTATTTTTTACATCCAAAACCATAATTCCAGGTGATAACAGAGAAAGAACGAAAAGCAATGATAGAAGAAGCTGAGAGAAAAAAGATCCAGTTGCAAGATGAATGCGAAGAGAGAAGACAAATGCTGAAGAAGGCCCAATTGGAACAGAAACCAAAACCAGGGTCTACATTAAACCAAGTATTTACGTAATGTTTGAAATTAATAATATAAATTAATACTAGAACACTAACTTGAGTGAAACTGGTAAAAAAGGAAAGTTACGAAGACATTAATTAATTAAATAACAATTGAACATAAATTCGTATTTGTTTAACTTTTCAGGAGTAACTATCAAACTCTAAAAAAAATTTGTTATCTTTTAACTTTGTATTAACAATGTATGTACATAGGGCTCATTTTAAAACATGAACTTCTACTAACAATTGGACTGTTTTAATATCTCTTTATAATTAATGAAAAACAAAACAAAATTTTTAAAGAAAACTGGATAATAGATGCAAAAACAGCAACAGTATTTGGTTTTGTTTATGATAAAACTTTTTTACCTATATTGATGTTAATGTTGTAGATTAAATGTTAATTTTCTGGTATAATATTAACTAGAATAAACCTAACGTTTAAATTAATTCTTAACAAAATATTTGTTTTAAAAAAGGCTGAGGATGAAGCAACAAAAAAGAGCCTGTACCTTCTTCAAAGGGCTTTCGAACTAAGACAAGAACAAGAAGACGAAGTGAAAGCTGCAAACAGCATAATTTTGGCTTCCAAATGCCTGGCTATTAGACAAGCGCAATTAACGGAAAAGGAGGTCAGGTTTACATCTTTAAATTGTCTTCGATTTTTAGGTATTTCGTACTTTATAATAAAGAACTACTTTAATTAAATTTTACAAAATAAACTTACCCCGTGACATGTGAAAACTAGGAAAACCCATATCATCGACCACAAGTCAGGTACCCTTACTTCTTGTAGAGGCAGACGTACAAACCCTGAAACAAATTGAAATATCAGTTCATTAATTTTATTTGTGAAATGGCATAACGAGCATACATTTTCAATTTTATGTTTTCAGCATAAATATTAATTTAACGTTAAAGTGATGCTGTTTTTTCTTTCTTTTTTCTACCTTTTCAAGTTTTTAAACGAGTAAACTAAATTTATTTTGTGTTAAGGTTGTTTGGGAGGTACAATCGGAGACAAGAGTACATAAAATTAGAAATTCGTGATTAATTAGGTTTTGCAGCATATCGTGAGGTAAATAAATACTATCTATACACAAGAAAAAGTATACGGTTTGAGAGAAAATTTGGAATTGACCAAAAACTTTGAATAAAATAAGATATAACGAATAATATGGAAAATTTTTAACTGACTTTTGGCAGTGAATATGCCTTGATTTCAACTTCGAAACAAAAAAATATTTAGTTTCAATCTCTATTAATAATGAGCGTAAAACTTTTTAATATGTTTAAATAATAATTAAAACTTTAAAATTGCATTTATTTCAGACAATTATAAATATTATCATTATATTATCAAGTAAAAACGAGATTTTCAGCTAATTTTTCATTTTTTCCTCGATAACCATTTAGTGAATTTGAATAACCTTACGCTAAAGTGATTCTCCAGAGTTCAAGTTACTTATTATAAAAGTTTGAAATTTCTGGTAGCTTTTTTTCTGTTAATAAAAATAAATTTAATCTGTTCGGTTAACGAATCTCCATAAAATGACGTGTAAAATTACAATTTTTTAAAATTTCAATAACTTTTTAACGGTTTAGTGAATCGATTTGTAATTTTTACAGGAGTTTTAGAATTGAATGAGGAACGTTCTTCCAAATTTTTATTTGTCTCGTAGCATTTTGACATACTCCCAAACATCCTTAAGTAGAAATTAGTAACTATTATATGTACCTCAGTTATATGTGTGCTCCTTACAGGAACAGAAAATTATTTTTCCTAAAAATTCTATACATTTTTATATGAAAACACATCACATATAGAGTCTAACATTAAATTCAATTGCTTATTATCGTTCAGCCTGTATGTATTCCGACTTGTTTGCTCCATTCTGATAATATGTCCACTGATCATTTTTTAGCTTTATACTATTTACGATAACATCCTTGTTTAACATTAGCAAAGCGTACGGAGGTCAAATGGGCGTCGCGTAATAAATAAGTGTTACCAGCTAGAAGGGTATATAAGGGGGATGTTCAAGAAGAATCGTCACAATCACAAGTGAAACACGATTTTTATTTATTGAAACCAAAAAAAGACTGACAAATGTTGAATAAGGCGAAATTAACACAACGAAATTTTATTTTTTTTCTGCGGACTTTTGATTAAAGTGAGATAAATTAAATAATCGCCCATTTAACACCTTTTCCGAATACCTATAAAACTACAACCCTAAGTGACGTTTAGGTTTAATATGTTATTAATTGTTTAAACATTTTGACAAATCATAACATCAAAATTACAATAAAATGCTTATAATCTCAGTCCAAAACTTTTTAAATAGCCTCTACTATTCCAATTGAAAAACGGTGGATATTATTTTTTATATTTCTAAAATTGTTCTAATAATAATAATAATAC